CCAGCCTCGAGATATACAAAACATCAATATGCTGGGATAGTCAAGCATATTCCGAGCTGGTTTTTCAGATGAGTTAATATTCGCGATTTTTTTGGTAATTTAGGCTCAACACTCGGCGCAAAAGATCTACAAAACGGCGCAATGCCAGACCATAAACCATGTTAGCAGCAAGTACTTAGCGGCTTCTAAACACAAATGAGGGGCAAAAACCTATTTGCCGAAGAAAGACAGTCGGGTTCATTTCTCTATCTGGCGGATGGAGATAGGGGACATGCTACTCTACTCGCTCCGACTGGCTAGACATGGAGGGGCTCCGGATACGCCCACGGTCTGGTATTGGGGTCTGTATTTCTACATTAACTTGCCAGTATCTAGATGCATATGTATGTTTTTACATGTTGCTGGTGGAGGAAGGCGTCTTTCCGGGCCTTTTCATCGTGGTTATGGCGCAGAAGGTTCTGCTGTTGGGCTATCAAGTCCCCCGGGGGTGGCTGGTCATATTGTGGGGGGGGGGGGGGGGGATGTGGAGGGTGGTGGTGGTGGTAGTAGTAGTGGTGGTGGTGGTGGTGGCGGAGAGGCGGGAGGTGGTTTATCTGGGGGTGGTCAGGGTCAGGGTCAGGGGGGGAAGGGTGGTAGTTTGCTTGGGGAAAGGTTGAGCCCGGGTTGGCCTGGCTCGAGGATGTCGTTGGCTCCTGATGTTGGGCCTAGTCGGCGGTTGAGTAGTCAGGATCGCCACTCGCAACAGCAGCAACAGCAGCAGCCACAGGAGGTGGCTCCTTGGGAAAACCAGGTTTTGGATACAAAAATATTGGAGGACTTGAGATGATGTTTATGATTATTATGATGCATGGCGTAACGAGAAGCGTTGGTTTGGTGTTAGGGCCGGTTTGTTTGCTAGAAAGATACCCCCAGCAACGGGTCATGATGTAGCGTTTACGTTGTTACCAAGTTATATCTCGTATGAATTAGTTAATATGTATCATGTCGATAGAGATCCAAAGAACTTGGTTGAAACAAAACACGGCAATAACTAACATCTTGCGTTGGATAGCATAGCGCTACATTTTTGTATTCGTAACCCGTTTAGTAGGCGAGCATTACCCCCTAATCATTTGTACATACATACCCGACCCGTACCCTTTTATACAAGACACACCCTTCACCAACTCCACGCTAGAAAACCAACCCTCTTTTCCGGTTAATGTCCACATATGGGTATTTCCAAGTCCACCCACCCCGAACCATTATCCTCTCACCATCACCCCGAATTAGGCGCCCCATTCAAAAAGAACTCCAACTCATTTCCCCCGCCGCCCATAAACGACTCGCTCTCGGCCAGCTGCTCCAGCAAGCTCAGGAACGGATCCTTCTCTTCCCCCGGCCCCGTCGTGGCTGCGCTTTCATTCGGGCTCGTATCCTTAGGCGTAGTCCCTACACCCGCAGCTCTCCCATTTTCGTCGCCGTGCCACGGGGTAGGCGTGCCAAAGGCATTGGTGGGTATCCCGCCAAACATGGGGTCGAAGTTCTGCGGCGCGCCGCTGGGACCGGGTGTGGATCCGGGGAGCTGGCCGAAGTTAAAGGACGGGTTGAAGCCACCGTTTCCCATGCTGGGGAATCCATGGGGTAGATCGGCCGACTGGCTGCCCGCGCCGTTACCGAGCGAGAAGCTCGGGAGGAGGTCTCCGTTAGTGTTGCCGGCCACCGAACTCTGCGACATGCTCAGCCGGCGATTTTGTTGGAGGGACCCGTGAGCCGGATTAACCGAGGTCGGCGTGTGTAGGATCCCGGGTGATGGCTGGGGTGGTAGTGAACCCGGTGAGAAGAGCGGTCGATTGGCGGACGACGGCGTGGATAACGACGGTGCGGGCGGGGGCTTCATGTTGTTGAGGGACATTAGATTCTTGAGGTCCGGCCTCGGGCGGCCTGATGGGGCCGTGTTCTTCCTCTTGTTTGGCCGAGACGGTCCGGGATCCGAGGGGCTGGCCCGGGGTGCGTACAGGCCGTGGCCTGGATATGTATCGGTTGTGAAGTCCACCACAACATCGGCGAGGCTTAGATTCGCCGAATCGAAGCTAAAGCTTTGCCCACCTGGCCCCCCAATGTTGGAATATCTGTCGAAGAAGTCTTCGAGGGTGAATACCGGCGAGTACCGCATGGGACTCTGGGAGAGGCTCTTGACGAGCTCCGAATGTGCGTGGTAAATCCCCTGTAGCGTCTCGCGCTGGTGTTGAACGCTCGCCCACGCGTATCGTAGCTCGCTCAGCTGCTGCATCTCCCTGGATAGGAAATCGGTCGAGGATCTGAACACGTTCATGTCGCCGGCTGATCCTATCCGGCTGTAATGAGTGCCATGTATGTGTACTGTGCCGGCCGTACAGATGCAGTATCCTACGAAGGCAGGCCACTCAACTGACGCTGTTTGTTTTCCGAGTTCCACGAGCTCCGCAATGGCGTTCGCGTGGAGAAAGCACATATTTGTGGCCTCGATCTGCCAAGATTGGTGTTGCCCGGTCCCTGCCAGTTCCGCCAGGTCGATGGGCAGGAAGGGGCGGTAGATGAGACAGTGGATAAGATGATAGATCAGCTTGCTGAGCACGAGCACCGTAGAATCCGGCTGCCCAAACAGCGATTCCACGCTGGAAAAGACGTCCTCTGTTCCCGACGCCCACACATCCAAGTCCTGGCGGATCTTAGAGAGGTTGGATAGCGAGTGCCAGGGAAAATGGGAGTCGCCCTTGACCCCGCCAGCTGCCAGGTACTGGTTTGTCGTGCCGAGTATGCGGCAGATGTCGATAAGCATCCCGTTACTTCCCTGGGCCTTCTTGCCCCCACCTTGTAGATGCTGGAGGTTCGTGTAGCTTTGAAAAAAGTCACCCTCCATGGGTATCGAATTCGGGCTCGGAAACCAGCATGGGAGTCGTAAAAGTATGGCCCGGTCCGAGATGAGGGACGGGCGCTTCGAGCCACAGGACATGAAACGATCAAGAAGGTAACAAGTCCAGAATAACCTTCGGCGGCTTTCCCGTTCGATTGGTGTAACACGGGCGTTCATGTCCAACTCCCGATGTAGCTCCAAAGCCATGGCCATACCAACAGCGCTTGCTACAAAGATGATTAGTTAATCGCTGCGAATTGGTTCCGGAAAGACATACTCAGCAACATGTACGCCTTTTTCCCCTTCCCCGAGGCTGTAAATGCCGTTACAAGAAGCACGAGAGCCTGCAACGCGTCCACGGATGGGTCGTCCGTATCTATCTCCAACCTCGACTTCGCTGCATACTCCTCGCTAAGTTTTACCGCGGACTGGTAGCCACTCGGGTGAGGCGCATATCTTCACGGCCGGGTCAGTATCAAAGTACTAAGGAGTGACAAGAAGGGCCCGGTGTTGTCTGCTCACCTGGCGGCTACCGCATAAATGGCGTGAACTAGGTAGCCAGGTACTTGTTCCAGTTGCAAGCGTTGCCGTAAGGTGGACTCGTCAAAAATATAAAAGGGTTTGTCGTGAAAGCGGGTGAAATAGATGTCGAGCAATGTACCGGGATGGGGTTCAGGAGATTGCTCACTACGCGAGGTTAGAACTGAAACCCGCGGTGCGAGAATATGGGCTGCTCACCTTGACTGGGCTGGGGAAAATACGATCGTGTCTTGAGTTTCTTGGCCAGCATCGGTTGTCGCCCCAGGTGCCGCGTTTGACGCCGATTGAGTCGAGGTGGATGCTTCAGGGGCGTCTACCACAGCACTTTCAGAGCCTTCTGCCTCGGCATCCGCCTTCTTGTCTTTTAGTCGAGCTTCCAGCCCATCCACCCTCTTCAGGAGAGCTTCCAATACGTCGGTTTTTGGACCTCTTTTCTTAGGAACGGCATCTGCGACGTCGTGTGAGAAAAAGCGGGGGACGTGGAAACGCAAATCCGCTGGAAGATGGGACGTACCATATATACACGGACATTGGAAAACCTGACATGCCTCGCAAGCGGGACGGAGCCGGTTGCATTTAATCTACATTCTCTAACATTAGCCCACATTGGCTCTGCAGCAGCGGAGGTGATGCTCGTCAAGCGCCCGTAGAGCGTCAAAACCAGCCACATACCTTGCGCTTCCGACACGATTTGCAATTCATGGATTCCCGGGGTTCGTTACTCATGCGGCGTGTGGGAAGGCGTTCGATGCTAACTTGGGGCCGCGGCATGGGGGCTAGCGGTATGCGAGGTAGCGGTGTTACCGCTCTGGGTTCGTAGGGCTGAGCCATCTTGTCGGGTGTGTCTTCGCGCCGCACGCCTGAAGCGCAGTGCTGAATTCCCACCAGAAAGCTGTACGTTGCACAGTCACCGTTTACTTTGGGGCATGTTTCCTTGCGATAGATAGTCTCTGGACAGGGCGCGGGGTGGTCCACCACTCGAGAAGATTGTCATTAAAGGCAGCAGCTGCCAGACACAAGTCGACACTGCTCGATTCGAGTTCGTGACGGCGCCGACGTATGGGGGCGTTTCAGCTTTCAGCACCGAGCCGTTCCTGGAACCCCAGATTTGTCCTTCTATTGAAAATTCCGTGTTGCTAGAGATGCGCAAGTCGTCGAGGGCGGTACCGAGTATAAAGGTGGCGCCCAGCAAACGGTGTTACAGTTCCTTTCTTTGCCTGCAAGATGCTGTGTTAGCCGACTGCCCAAAAAGTCGAACATGGGCGCGCCAGCTTTCGATTGGCGGACAGGCGCCTCGCACAACCAGGTCGCCGAAGAGGTGAGATACCCAGGCAGGACGGTGGTTGGCTCCAGCCGTGTAGGAAGCAGAAAAATGTAAAGTAGTCGGATTGAGAAAGGACAGAAGACGCGGCATCGGTTAAGCAGCCGGGTATGAAAGGGGCACCGCGTGTTTTTGGAGCAATTGCATGTGGCCCTGTCCTGGATTTAAACGGGGGAAACCCTCACAGGCTCACATTCATCCTAGACCGGGGTCGGCAGGTCATGGGGTTTCCGAAGAAGGTTCGTTCGCCGCACCATCGACAGCTTCATTGCCCAGCGCACATACCATCAACAAACGTGGTTGCCTCGTGGCATTCGATGCCGTGCTTGACAGCGAGGGCTTGGGGACGAAAAAGGTGGTTTGTAACAGAAATGTGGAGAGTCAATTGCTGGGATTCGAGCGAAACTGGTCCCTGTCCGGGGCCATGTCGAGGGCAGGGAATGCGCCGGCTCGGTGAGGAGTGGATAGAGTGTCAGGAAAGGAAAGCAGAGCTCATGGCGGGTGCAGTGCGTAAGCTGTGCAAGGTACGGAAGTCTGTTGTCTGGATTCGGGACTCAAAACAATTCAATGCCAAACAAGCTCTTGATCCATCTCATAAGGTGTGATCCTCGAGTATAATAGATGGCGGGTGCGATCCCCGTCCCGGGGGCCGGTGCAGAACAGATGGGCGGATGGTGCGGGGAGATGGCACGGTGGAAGTGTGGGGTTGGCTTGTGGAGGTCGAGAAGGATGGATGAACCTGCGGAGACCTCGGCCGGCTCCACCTGCAGGTTTGGGAGAGCAAGTGGAGAGAGTCCCTGCTCTGGGGGCCTTGGCTGGATTCACGCAGTGTGGCCGTCTCGCAAGCCAGCCCAAGTTGCAGTTGCCATGAACAAGAACGCCAACGTCTATTGGTCGTGTCTGTATCGGTTTCAAGGTTCTCCCATGATCATATTACCAATTTACCTAACTATTTGTGCCAGGCTCACGTGCAGAGTGCTTAAACCATATAAACGTTAATACTTGTTACCCCTCGTTACCAACCAGCAGCGCTGCTGGGTTTCGGTTTGCAGTTTGCTTGATCAAACGGAACCGCTGACAGAGTAAAGTGGTAGGCTTGGCGTTCAACTGCTGCAGGTGGTCTCGGAGCTCCCGCCCTTCAGAGCCAAGCGATGTTGCAGCCCAGATAAGTCATCAATGAGACCTCGGGAACCACTTTCGCCAGACAAGCGACGACAGCTTCCCCGGATTTCTTGTCAAAGGGAACGACAAGCACACTCAACCCCGACTTCCAAGTAAAGGTGCATAAACGAGAGCGGACTGAGCGCCCCACTCGGCAATGGCAGACCTGGCGCCTGGGTGCGTTGGGCCTGTCGAGCCTTTCTGTTCCTGACTGCAAGGGACTCTCTGATGCCATTCACGATGTAATTGGGGCGCGGTACTGTGTTGAGGTTGCAATATCCGACCCTTTGCCGCTCCAATGGCGGCACATCTACCGGCTGCCCGCCTCTGCCTACGCAGACGGGTTCAATCTCGAGGCTCTATCCCGGTTATGTTCTGTCCCGTTCACCAGTCGCCCGATAAAGCACCGCATTTCTGGACCTGCCTGCCGATGGGCATCCCGGTCCGGGTCAGATTGCGCCACGCGAGTCTCCAGTTCAACTGTGAAAAATGGGGAAAAGGTACATACCTACTTAGGTAGGTACCTACAAGAGTCAAACCCTACCCTCTCTGAATTAATTTTCGAGGTGATTGGAGCTAAGCGATGACTTTAGATCCGTTAACTTTGCCCTCCGTCTCGCCCGGCGGTATTATGCCTCTTTCCGAAGCAACAACGAATGGTCTCCCACAAAATGCGTGATGAGAGCTCCCATGCGACCTCCTCGCTTAAGCACCACACACCCGTTCCCTGCACCCCGCAAATCTCAAAGGCCTGGGGTTCCCCTGCTATCCCCACTAATCATGGTCGATCCTTGGCGTTCCGCGGACGTTCGAAGCCCGAGTTGACTCTTTGGTGCCTTGCAAGTGTGCATCGGCCGGTCATCTCTCGATTGAGGCACCATTCCTCGGGCTCGGCTTTTGGGAACCTGGAAGCTTGGTTATCCGGGGATGCTGCATTGTATGGACTGAATTCATGTTTTTGAGTATGTCGTGGACATATTTTGTCGGAGTGTACGAATACGATGATAGAACTCAACGCGCCAAGTCCTATCGTCGAACTCCCAAGAAACTGTATCAGATCATCGACTGGCGGCCCGCTATACCCGCTGAACGGTCTAAAGGAGAGGATCAGCCAAAAAAAAAAAAAAAACTCTGAGCTAACCTTGTCGCCTAACGGCGCAGGGCTGAAAGAGTGGATGAATGTGTTCCCTTTTTGGGACTAAAACGACATCTGACGGTGGGATTCTTTGGTCGGGCGGCTGGCCTTGAATCCAGGCAGGGAACGAGACCCATCCGTTAGCTAAAAAGACGCGAAGTGACAGCGGCAATTATTCTGTCACATATGCTTGACGAAGCTTCAGCTGCCGGCGCCATTGACCGATTAATCCCTTTCCCCCGATTTCGAATGTGGATAGTTGTCCCGCAAGGACCTATCGGACCGAAACGGTTGTGCCCGCGCTTCTCCTCGCAGGAGCCGCGTGCTTTCGGCTCCACGGGCACGTCTCCGAACGACACGGGCGGCGCACAGGAGGCTCGACAACTCTGGCCCCTTTGAGTTGACGGTAAACCTGACAGACAGGCTCGGTGGCTTGCCTCGGAGCTCGAATCGTGCATCTGATTCGCTTGGGAAGGACATCGGATATTAAGGGGATGTAACTCTTCTATATCATTAAAAGTTGCTGTTGTCGCCTTCGTGGCAAAAACACCCGAAACAGAGGTTAAGATGGAGACCCAGACTAGGATAGTTTCCTAGCCTCGACAAGGTTTCGTTGTCGATTTTTACTCAAAACCGAACCTAGTTAATGACTTCGAAACAACCAAACTTTCCGAACCCTCCGCCACGGCCATCTCGATCCCAAACAGACAAGCTTGTATTTAGGTAGGTAGGTAAGGTACCTAGGTAGGGAGTGACGTGGTAACACAGAGCCCCGCTTTGCGCGGAACCAAAGGTCCCATCACCGATGCAATGTCTCCTCACCGAAGCGTAATGCCGACAACTACCGAGAAGGAAGGGCTTCCTGCAGTCTTGCTTGCTGGTTCGTAGAAAGATCTAACCAATCTCTCCAGCTGAGGGATCAACCCAGAAGGAATCCTGGTAGGCAGAACTGAGCTCCTCCTCGTCTAATCCCGTCCGCGGTTCGTACCCGGTAGAGGGGATCTCGAATTTGAGCAATTAGATGTTCAGAAACAGAGAGTTGAGTTTGTGTGTCTTGTTGAATACTACATTAGTTAGAGTTCTCCGAAATGGGGTTTGAGCATGAAGCAAACCAGGTCTCATAAGCCTTGGCATTGAATCTCGTAGCCATCGCCCCAGATCTCGATCCTTGCATACATTGATTCCCCAGATGAGCTTTTGGATACCGATGACAATGCATGCCATAAAACATCCAAACCAGTTACCAGGACTCCAGGCCGCCTACCTTAGAACACGCGAGGTGGCAATCCCAGTGCCTTTCGCCCGGTAAGGGTTCCGGAAGTTAACCATATAAGCGCTGCCGGCACTGCCAAGCGGCAGGAAAAGCACATGCTCGGATGAAAGGGGGGTGGCCAGACAGAAACCGTCACTGGGAAACTCTCTTCCGCCCTCGCTTACAGTAGCGGGTAACGCTTTGCAGCCCAGCGACGTCAACCGTTGACAAGAGCGCGAGTCAGAAGAGACAACCCAAGTTCCCAAGCACGCTCATCACACACAAAACACGGCCGCCGACATGCTCCCGATGGCGGCGGCCTGACATACCCCTTCAGGATAAATCACCGACGCACCCCCGCCTCTTGGGTAAGTTCACTTGCACACCCAGCAAACTCGGTGTCTCGGGAGAATGTAGGGCGTAGCTGAACCGAACAAGCGCATGTCGAAGGGAGATGGGGAGGTAGAGAAATGTCTTTGAGGGAAAAAAGAAAACCCAAACATGTCCGCGCTGTATACCGGTACATGCAAAAAAGAAAAAGGTCGGGGTGTATGCAAAACCGTCAACAAAACACCAGTAAACAATCCATGCGGCCGCCACCACCGATGCTCGATTCCACCCATCTGCATTTGCGCGCCTAAAACCCCGCCCGCTGCTACCGCTCTGGTCTAGTCGGTTGACTGCCCTGCCACACAGCAATCATTTCTCTCTGAGTCCCTGTCGATTGGTCCTCCAACAACATGTCGTGTGTCATGAGTGCTGTTCGGCTTGTCGTACACCGTGCGTCCTGATCGGATATGTCGGTCATGCGCTTCGATGTTCTCCGGTCGTGGTCGTGTTCGTTGTTCGTCGAGATAATCGCATCGGCCTGATCGAGTCGACCTGGACATCTGTGTTAGAGCAGACGTCCCACCCATGGGCTGATCTTTGCTTGGTGGTGAGTCTCCTCGCGCTAACCTTTCATATCGCCAACGAGGCAAAGGACTCTTAACCTCCACACACCACCCACTGCTCTTACAACATCCAAAAATATAGATGGCTGACATGATTTTAGAACAACGTCCTGCCACTGGCCAGCCTCACAAAGCTGTATGGGACATTCTGCCCAACGAGCAGCCGTAATGTTTCCACCGTCGTGAAGGCGGTGACATCTGCCGCGCCATATGCTGCAAACCCGCTCTGCTCGGCGATCAAGCCCGGGTCGCCCTTCCGCGAGGCTGACCGGTCCGCCAAATCCAAGAACACCTTCCGAAAATTCGCCGAGCCCCGAGACCCAAACAGCCGGACCAGCATCCCCACAAGCGTGCTCTTCTCCGGACTCAACGCGCTGACGACCAGGAATGGTGAGCCCGCTCCGGCGTCGGCGCCGTTCGAGCTAACCGTCCGCGCCCCTCTGGATGCTCTCGAGGCTGGTGAATGGTTCGATAAGGAGATCCTTGCCCGAATGCCGGGGGCGTCTTGAAGCCGACCGTGTACACCTTGCCCGACCTTGAGTGCTTTCAGGGCGAAAAGGGGCGCTGGGCGGCGTCTTCCGCGGGAGGACGCAAGAACGACGGCGGCACAACCCGAAATATGCCGAACGGGGCAAGGGTCACGAGTTCAGAGTGGCTCAAGATGCCCTTCTCATGAACCGTTGGTCCGAGGAACAACCGATGTGTTGGGGGGGAGACCCGGACTGGGGCGGGGGCCGAAGGTAGTGTACGAATCCCCATTCTTGTGTCGTTGAGGGCTCGACGGAATCGATGACGGGGCGGATGCCGGGGCGCTCGAGACAGCAGGCCGTACGACGATGGTGTCGACCATACCGATGAGCCGAGCTGCTTCGCTGACTGTGGGCCCAGCCCCGTTGTTGAGGAACGCGAGGAACTTGCTATGGGATGCTAGGCTCTTGAAAGAGACAGCTGGGTTGAAGTAAGCACCGCCAAAATTCTTCTGGTTGCACCATGTTCCGATACAACCAGACGTCTTTGGCTGCCACTCGACGACGGCAAACTGATGCGGCAAGCCTAGCTCATTAAAACACTTCTCATAAAAGGGGGCTTGGGGTGTGGCGCTGCGCATCGCCGGGCTGGTGATGCCGTACATGTTCTTCCTGGGTAACTGCCCCAGCAAAGCCAGCGCCTGGTTAATCTCGGCCGCGCTCATTTGCCCAGGAGCTGCGATGATGGGCAGGAGAGGATGCGTGATGGGTGTGAAGAATTTGTTGAGCGTCCGAGAGAACTGGGCCCGTTTCGCCCATGTTGACAGCAGACATGGGTACCGAGTCGGGGTATTTTGCTTTGATCTTGGACCGGAAGTACTCGAGCTCGAAGTTTTCGTTAGGGTCGTGGATGATAGCGATCATTTTCACACAGTCTGCATAGCGTTGTGATTCCAGAAATATGGACTCAGCCCGATCCGACGTCCATTTGAAGTTTCCCGAGAAGTCGTGGAAGGCGGACATGATGCGGCTATTTCCTCTTTGTTCATACAATTTCTTCCTGATGCTCTCGGGAAGCCAAAGCTCAACATCGATGTACTCGACACCCCATTGAAGTGCTCGATAGAGGTAGTCGTAGTACAGGCCAGGATTATCCATGGGGAACCGGCCGTTTTCGTTAGTACACCTTGTTGTGAGGATGATAGGCAGCTCGGTTCTTTGACGGAGCAGCATGACTTGCTCGCCAACGTAACTAAGACTAGGAATATCGGAAAAGGTACCGTTCCCCAGGGGCTCCTTTAAAAGATCGACTCGAATTTCGATGGCATCTGCGCCGACGGTCAAGATATCGATGTTCGGTAGGGCAGCATGCACGTCCGGAAAGGTGGTCGATATGATGAAGGTCCTCGGCTTTGCCATGAGCGCCTTGTGATGGCATAGCTGGCCTAGGATATGCGAGGTGAAGCGAGCAAGGTCCCGACGGAAGAAAGGGGTCTCGGTGTACAGAAACTCGTAATCGCACTGAGCTGAAAGATAGATGTCTGGGGGCATGCCCAGACCGGTGCAATGAGCGTTAATGGCAACGATTAGTCCTCTATCACGCGTCGCAATGTCGTCCTTTGCGTTCTCGGCCGGGATTCCGATGACCCAGTCCTGATCGTGTTGGGTAACATCCTCAAAGCGGTTCTTCGTCCTGGACGGTTTCCCCAAAACCTCGGCAAAGACAGCAACAATCTTCTCCTGCCCAATGCCGTAAATGATGACGGCAATCCGGGTGTCTCCTCGTTCCGGTTCGCTACACAACGGCAGGCCTTGCTGGATCGGTGGCGATGAGCGCTCCATATCAACGTCGCTGGTGAAGGGATTGCCGTTTAGGCTCTGTGGCCGTGCCAGCGACGGCATCGGCTCCAATTGCTGCACCGCCGCCATGATGACTCCCGCGGCCCCGAGCGAACTCCCAGATAATTCGAAGTTGAAACGAACGAGCGTTTTTGTACCTCAACTAGCGCGGCCGTTGCTTGCTTCCTCCTCGAGGTTCGCGGCCAAAGTCCAGCCCAGCCAGCAAGGAGTAAAGGAATGTCAAGGAGGCCTAAAGTGCATGGCCCGAGATTCGCACCTACAAGAGTTGTCTAGATGAGGCGTGGGGTCCTTGTCGGGCACAAGAGATAGATACAAGAGATAATGGATGCGAGGGAGCCTGGCGCCCTGGAAAGCGATAAGCAGCCGCAAGGTTGCGACGGGGTGGGATGTCGACAAGTAGCGCGCGTGCTCGAACGCTCCGCCCTCGATCTTTGGTGTCGCCTCTCGAGTGCTGCGGTGTTGGGCGCAATGGGCGCCGTTTTCTTCGGTCTTGGCGGCTGATATCCACGAGAAGGGGGCAATTCCAAGGAAGGCGAAGTTGGGAGTATTTTGTTATTGACTGCGCGAAGACAGCCTGAACGGTGGCTGAAGCCCGTTTAGAGTGGCCGAGAAGGCAGCTCTGAGAGAACAATGCCGTTCAGCAGAGCTTACTAGCGAAAGAATGATCTCGGCATCAGAGCCTCACTAAACAGCCGGGGGCACGCAACCGGAAAAAGAAGGACGAAACGGAGCGGGCCAGGACAACAAAACGACGATCCGGCGATAACAGCGGGTATATCACCACACCGGGGCCCGCTGTGACATGGCGTTGGAGTAACAGATTCCCGGGAATCAGGAGGTAGAAAGTGCTGCTGCAACGCAAGGAGGTCGTTCGGGGAGGTCGCAGTAGGCAGCAGACGGTGGTTGTGCCAAGACGAAGAATGGAAATTTGACCGAACTTCGTTTTCCGTTCTCAAGGTTGCTGGAGCCAGTGAGAAGAGGACCTGAGATGAGACCCTGGGGAGGGCTGCCAGAGCGCGGGAAGCTGGACGGACTGTCGGCGTGCTTGGTGGTCACCGAGCAGAGGGATAGGAACGGCGGAAGACAGGCTGGTTGGTTTAACGGGATGAGTGGAGTCGCGATCCCGAGAGTGCAGCGATGCTTGAGTCCACGCCTTGCTTTGTTCAGCTTCGATTCGAAAAAGTTGCCCGTTCAAGGTCCGGGTCCGATGTCGTTAGTTACACAATGCGAGCCATTCCTCCATGCGGTGGTTAATTACAACCTCGACAATCGTCAAAATAGAAGACACGGTGTTTCCGGGTAACAGGATGGCCAATCGCGTCAGATGTGACGAGCAGAATTGAGGTCTCAGTTGCGATCCGTCTCCTTCGTTGTTGCTACGGACCAAGCCGACCGTTACATGAAAGCAATGGCATTGGATGGCCACGGTCCCGAGGTGGACTTGGTGGATTTGGAGAGAAGCTGGAGTGCATGTGCGGAATCTGTGGGTTTGGAGACCGCGACCAGCAGGGTACCCCGCATAATCTCCACAGTTTCTCCAGCTCTGGAGAATCTTTGTCAAAAAGTCCGCCAATGAAAATGGCAGAAAGCTGGGGCCCCTGGTTCCATATCCGTGCAGACCTACGAAGGCCCGATTCAGCATTGGAGATTCTCAATCTAGGGGTTGACGGGCCTGGGAAGCAGAGAGGGTGCCCCTGAAGGCCGCTAATCTTCAGTGGCCACCACCCACTACCTACGCCAGCCCGGATTTCTTCGACCTCGGGCTCCGCTGGCTCGGGGTCAGCTCCGGGCAAATCTTGACATGCATCCCATCCCCGTTCCAACAGACCCGCCTTTCGCGCCCACATGCCCGCCGTCGTGCATCGTCGACATGGTCCGACCCAAATTCCTCCGTCTGGTCCTCTAGACACGGGAGAGGAGACGGGATTCTCAGATTCCATCCACATCTCGAACTCGTTGGGCTGATCTCACCCCAGCAAACCGCCACCTTCCGTTCAGGAAACGGCAGCTGGTAACGCCGTTAGCCTCCCGCTCGCCGTTACACCCCGTGTTCAACTGCCATGTTGACTTCAGGCTGAATACGATCCCAAATTTCCGTCAGAGGTTGACAACAATCGCGAGGAGCCGGCTTAGATGGACAGTGCCACCGTGTATCTAAACCGTATATTTCCATCTCGACATCAGCCGGGACCTTTCGAAACCAACAATGGAATTCTGATATCTGTTTCCAGATCCTTACTCGGTGCTATTCTGGAAAAACTACCGTGACTATCCCAACCGTATGGATTGGTGTTTGCCTGTAAACACGCGGGTTGAACACTTTTTTATTCCGTTTCAATCGAGTTGGGATCCGGCCGGCCGAGACCATGCCACTGTTGGTTTACAACCCCAGACAAGCTTAACATATGAACCGACGGGTTGGACGGGAAGATACCCTGTGTGGAATGATATACTCTGAGGGATGCCTACCCGGTTATCACTTTGAATTGCCCTTCCGAAATCGCTAATGATAACTTGAGAAAGTGACACAACGCAGGGGGAATGGTTGATCCGGTCAAATGCATAAACCACCACCAGCCAGGCTCTGGCCGGTTGGCGCGGATAACTAACTACCTACATAGGTACCTTATAAATCGGTTGGTTATCTATGTGGAACCGTTTCTGACGGCATGGAAATCTCCCGTCTTCAGACTCGCTACCAAGGATGTTTTTGCCAAGTCATCGTGCCTCGGTCTGGAATACTGCGACGAGTGGAGAGGAGGATGGGGAGTCGAGGACAACAACATGGCAGGATCAAGGAATGGAGAACCAATCCTTTGCTCACGCCAGCCAAGTACGCCTCGTGAAGGGCTCACCTGACATGGGAAGGACAGCCAGCCCAGGCCGGTATCCTCGGCCTTCCGAAGTCCAGGAGGGCCCCCTGACCCCTTCGCGTTTGCCATAAAGCGCAGCACGAGTACGCATCGAACAACAAGGCACATCCAAAAAGGGGACTCAAACCCCTCCATGATCCATCTGTGAGCTAGTGCCCTCAACGCCCCTACCGCCCGCTACCCCCACAGTCAAGCACAACCACAAAAGACCCTGGTCGAGCACATGCACGAACGAGAACACCCAATTCCGCCTTCTCACTCACCACCATACCCACCACCATCCATCACGCAATACACTTTTCAGTCGGCGCTACTGCACGAGAGTAAGTGACCGAGGCCGCCGTGCCGGCATTGGAAAGAAGTGGTACTGCCAACCAGGGACTGTCAAGGCCGCCAGTACATGCAGTAATGAATGACCAAGCCATGTCTGTCGCCGTTTTTAGAAAAGACGAAGTTGCCGCGGCGTTCGATTCCGAACGTACACTGCTTCTCAAACTTGAATCCTTAATGGAGCCGCAAGGCGAAGCTGACACATGTGACATGTCTATCGTTATGTTTTCTCCCTGTTATTTTGTTCCTTTTCTTCTTACATCCCCAGCCCAGGCTGGTAACGCTGTTGATAACACCACCCTCGTGAATGTCATGCATCGAGAACACATGAAAAGTATCACTTTCGATTAGGCGGCCTTGCAGCTTGGGTCTTATCAAATATGGATCACAGATCTTGATCTAGTAGTGCTCGCACCCTAAAAGAATCAATATCAGACCCATCACTAAATCAACAGCTTTGAAAATCAATAAGTTGAAAACTCCTCACCAATTTTCGGGACCAGTGTAAGGCAGCGAATCTTTCAAGACTGGAGTCTACGGAAAACTCTCAATGATAGCCTTGGCTATTACCATAGAACTTCAGCTATAGTCCATCTCCTGTGGGCCTCAGTTTCTTACTATAAATCAGTGGATTCTTTGTTACTCTTGAAGGCATTCAGCTCTAGATTCGACATGAAATATCGGCTTGTGCAGATATCCGTTGCCCGCAAGACTGGTCCTGTATCACCGATGAATCATTGTGCTGATACGTCTGGGGCACCAGCCTCAGTCATGATGACTCGTGTCACCATAAGGGCAATGCCCAATACATCCCATCACATTTCCCAAGCCAAACCAAAGTTCCGCATCTAACAACCATCCCGCCAACCCCCTCACGTACTCCTCTCCATCCACGGCTAACACGCCTCATAAACCCCCACAATCCCCTCCAAACCCCTATACCTCCCCAACAACCCCTCATCCACAGTTCACATCGACCTCAACCCCCGGCCACCAAAAAATCCACCACCCCCGGCCTCTCGCCGCCCACAAACCTCCCCCCACCCCTCTCTCTCACTTCCCTCACCACCCCCTCCACCTCCCTTCAATGTGTTGGTGTATAAAAGTGGGTCATCTTCATGCCACACTCGGAGCTGCGAAGCTGAGCGTTGCCGGATGACTGCTCCCCCATTCTACCACCCCCTTTCCAACCCCCCCTCCACCTCGGCAAACACACCCACCCCCTTCAAGCCCAACCCCGTCGCGAGACCGACCACGTCCGCCCCAGCAGCCCTCATCCGCAGATAGCCCGCGGCGTCACTCACCCCACCCACGCCCACTAACCGCACCCGGCCCTTATTAACACCACCGGCGGCCTCGTCCGGCCACCGCTTATCCAGCAACCTCCGCAGGGTGGCCACGTTGCCCAGGGCCAGCGGGTGCAGGGCGGCGCCGGCCATGCCGCCGATTCCGGTACCGGGGAGCGCGGTCGTTGAACCCGGGTAGTGCGAGCTGGGATCTGGGGGTGCTGGTGCTGGCGACGGGTCGAGGAGGAGGCAGGAGCCGAGGGTGTTGGTTGTGGTGATGAAGGAGATGGGGCAATGGCCTCCTGACAAGGTCGCGGCTTCTAGGGCGGCAATGAGGGTGTGGTATTGCGTGGAATGGGTGTAGGGCGGTATCTTGAGGCCAACGGGGATGCGTGGGGTGTTGCCATCGTCATAGTTAGCGGTCTCGACGACGACTTGCTGGATGCGGCTGAGGTACATCGTGAGTGCTTCCCCCGAGTAGGCTGGGGGCGGCATGTCGGGGATGTTGGGGCAGCTGAGGTTGATCTCCATGGCGAGGGGGAATTGCACGCCGCGTGCCGCCGAGGCGATGTGTTGGTAACTGACGGCGATGTCTTCTACCGACCCCGTAACGGAGAGGATGAACCCCTTGGCGGACCAGGAGGGCTGTTCGTCTGAGATTGTTTGGATGAAGCCAAGATAGATCGGTAACGTGAGTGGGCTGTAACCGAGGGAGTTGATGCTTGCGTTGGGTGCCGAGCCGGCTTGGGCTGCGTCGAAGAAAGCGTAGTGATGCCTTTCAGGGTCGTGATCAAACCCGTTGATCAGGGACGTCCGAGTAGTGACTGCGCCTGTTGACGGGCACTTGTAGAGGAGCCTCAGATCGTCAATTGTGGTTGCCCATGGACATGCCGTGTTGATCAGGGGTGGATGGATATTGAATAGGGGAGGCGGTGCATCCATGGTGTAAGTTGCTTCCTGACTGACTCCTGGTCTTGTTATCCCGTACTCTTCGTTTCTCAAAACCTGTGGGCTCCGGGAACTTGGTGCGTCTACTACCTACCTCGTAACAGGTAAGATCTGGTACGGTCAGGTCGTTTGCTTGGTTGGTGTTGCTGCAGCGGGGTTCTCCAGATAAGATAGGCTCACGAAATAACCCCGCTCGGATATCTAGATCAAACATCGGGGTTGAGGTATCACAAACTAGAGCGCCTCGTTCATTGCAAGAATGGGCCGTAGATTTCTCAATCAAAACATGTCATCAATTGCCTTGTCGGAGTCCTTCTTGATCAAGTCCACCATGCCCTATCACCATTTAGTGAGTGGCAAAGGTCAGATTGGATGATGAAGTAGGTAGGTTCTTACCTCGGGCATAATAGGTTTTCCGTCCTCACTCTTGACGTAGCGGAACGGCATCTCGGTGCTTTCATGCTCGTTGAACTTCAGCTCTGGGTGGTCCAAGTAGGGAATGTCTTTTAGAGGAGCTAAGACACAGTTAGTAACGAGCTTGAATAACGAGCCAGTTCAACCCACTCTTGCCCTGGACGACTAGCCGGGTGACTCTAACAGCCGTATCAGTAGTCATCTGGACCGGCCCTAGTCGGCGGCCTTCAAATCCCTTCTTCCGTAGCTCAGACGTCCGATCTCTCGGGGGATCATCTCCTGTTGCGGGATTAGCAAATGGCCGAAGCTACGATGAGCGTCTCATGATAGGAGACGTACCTAGAATTCCACCAAAGAGAAAGGCGTCAAACTTATCGCCGTCCTCAGGCGAGAGATCACTTGAGGCGGCGGGATCAAGCAGGCACACCCGTGATTTGTCGCTCGCATACAGCTCCTCGACGCCCCTGGTCTCTGCTTTGAAGGCAGGAATCTTGGCCAAATCCTCTGGGACTTTGAAAGCCGGAGGAAGAGACGATAAACAGAACTTGGCCCCTGTTTCCTGTGATTCGCGGGCGATGGCGAGGTATTCCAGCTCCGACCAAGTCCCCAGTTCCGGGTCAAGGTGCTCGACGATGTAGGTTTTTCCACCGGAAGCCATAGTAAATATTTGTGAGAGGAAGCCCGGTAGGTTGTGCTGGATATTGATATTTAACCCTCGATGGCTACCTGAGACATCTCCTGTCTAGGAACAAGCGTTATGGTGTTCACTGGAAATTTTAGCGTGTGCCCGCTAACAACAGAAATAGCGCCCGATGCCAAGATTCCTTGGCAAGCCGGAGCCGGCAGATCGGCCCCACTTGAAGTGTTCCTGATTCTCGGGCGGGCACCCCGGGCTTTGGTTGTGTGTTTTCAATTATGGTTTTCAACAAGGCGAGCGGTATGAAATACTGAGCTCGCCGTGCATTATCAAGGGACCGCATGGCCCGGCCGGCACCCCGGGAAGCTTTTCAAAGACCTTCCTCCAAACAATAGGCAAAAGCAACTCACCCCCAAGAATGCGGCGCGTTATTCAACCCCTGTTCCGGGTGGAAGGGGCAAGGTCAGCTTTGTTCGTTGGCTCCGACACCTTGAAACCCCTCCATCAGGTACCCTGGCCTGTGCTTGTGCCGCTGTCTCCTGAAAATTCGGGAAACAAGACAGATGGGTAGGAGTTACACAATACAGCATAACTCCAGACAGTTTTTTTTTCTCTTGTCTTTTATTCTCTCTTTATATCTTTCATACACACCTATGGTCTCCTTTTTTTTTTTTTCGTCAATCATCCATACTCATTTCCCGTTCTGCTGTCGGCTTGTTGCATTTTCACCTTGTGATATCGTGCTTTTATTATTTCCCGCTTAAGTTAGGCCCCAGACCGCCAAGCCGCGATAGTTACGAAGAGGTACTCGTCAGCCGCTTCCAGCACTCCATCCCGTCTCAGGACACATCGTCCCGCATTGCAGCACTTCTTTCCCCATCCCAGCTTTTGCTTCCTTTCACTTCTGGCGCCGCCTCAATGACTGTTTCTGGCACTGCTAGGTAGCCAGATATTTCATCGCCCTTTTTCAGTTATTTATTTTACCCGGTTGCTGTTGCGCGTCACCGAACCGCGCAACGGCGCAATCATGGTTCCCAGCTGGCCATCGACAGGCTGTTGGAGACACCTGCCCGTCGTTCTCGCTGCCCTCACCCTCCCATGGACCGCGACATTAGCTGCCGCCGAGAAATCGGCTGGCGACTACTTTGTCCACTCGCTTCCCGGCGCACCCGAGGGACCTCTGGTGAAGATGCATGCTGGGTAAGCTTCCCCAGCGAGGACGAGGGAAACACTGGGGATTCAGGCTGACGCGGCGGTTTAAGGCACATCGAAGTTACCCCCGAAACCAATGGCAACTTATTCTTCTGGCATTTTCAGAATAAGCACATTGCGAACAAGCAGCGGACCGTCATCTGGCTGAACGGCGGGCCGGGATGCAGCTCCGAGGATGGCGCATTGATGGAGATTGGCCCCTACCGATTGAAGGACGACAAAACGCTGATGTATAACGATGGCGCTTGGAACGAGTTTGCGAACGTGCTGTTCGTCGACAATCCGGTCGGCACCGGCTTCAGCTATGTCGACACCAACGCCTACGTGCGCGAACTTGACGAGATGGCCGAACAGTTCGTCATCTTCATGGAGAAGTGGTATAAGCTGTTCCCAGAGTATGAACACGACGATGTGGGTCGCCCTGTGTCTCGTGCTCTCTCTCGTTTGCTAACGTTGGTGGCTAGCTTTACTTCGCCGGAGAGTCGTACGCTGGCCAGTATATCCCCTACATTGCAAAACATGTCCTCGCCCGGAACAAGGAGGCGGGTACAAAACAGTGGAATTTGAAGGGCTTGCTTATCGGCAACGGGTGGATCTCGCCGCCCGAGCAGTACGAGGCCTACCTCCAGTTCGCCTTTGAGAAGGGCCTAGTAAAAAAAGGGAGCGACATTGCCAGCAAACTCGAGGTCCAGCTCCGCATTTGCCAAAAAGACCTTGCCGTCGGCGAGAGCGCCGTCGACCATCCGGAGTGCGAGAAGATCCTCCAAGAAATTCTGAAACTCACAGCCACGCGCGGCAAGGACAACAAACTCGAGTGTTACAACATGTATGATGTGCGCCTAAAGGACGTCTATCCATCCTGCGGCATGAACTGGCCATCCGACCTGGCTAACGTTCAGCCGTACCTCCGTCGTAAAGACGTCGTCCAAGCCCTCCACGTCAATCCCAACAAGGTCACCGGCTGGGTTGAATGCGACGGTCGGGTTGGCCAGAACTTCAACCCTGTTAAGTCCAAACCCTCCATCGACCTCCTCCCGGATATTCTCTCCGAGGTGCCAGTCATGCTCTTCTCGGGCGCCGAAGACCTTATTTGCAACCACCTGGGCACCGAAGCTTTGATTAGCCGCATGGCCTGGAACGGCGGTCGCGGCTTTGAACTCTCCCCGGGCACCTGGGCGCCCCGCCGCGACTGGACCTTCGAGGGCGAAGACGCCGGCTTTTGGCAGGAGGCCCGTAACCTGACCTACGTCGTCTTCTACAACGCCTCCCACATGGTACCCTACGATCACCCGCGCCGCACTCGCGACATGCTCGACCGCTTCATGGGCGTTGACATCAGCTCCATCGGCGGCGACCCCACCGACTCCCGCCTCGATGGCGAGAAGGGACCCGAGACCACCGTCGGTGGCACCGCCGGCAACGGCAACGCCGACCAGGAGGCCGAGAAGGCCAAGTTGAGCGCCGCTAAGTGGGAGGCTTACCGCCGGTCGGGCGAGATCGTGCTGGTCATCGTCGCCGTCGCTGCCGCTGCCTGGGGCTACTTTGTTTGGCGCGAGCGCCGCAAGAGGCGTGGGTACCAGGGCCTGGCGAGCGCCGAGAACGGGGCTGCTGGCGGGGTGATGGGCGGGAACTCGGGGTTCCGGAACACCCATGGCGGGAGGCCTCGGTCGGATGTCGAGGCGGGCGACTTTGACGAGACGCAGCTGGATTCGCTGCATGTGCGCTCGCCTGTCGAGGGGCAGGAGGATGCGCGGTACAGCCTTGGGGCTGTGAGCGATGACGATGATGAGGAAGAGGAGGGGAGTGCAGCTGGCGCGAAAGGGAAAGAAAAGGAGACCGGGAAGGCGGCTGAGAGTTCATGATTTATTCATGTAGTTTGGGTGAGGCATGGATAGGTTCAGTGTTTTATCTCCGTACATAGCACATACCTGGGCAGCGCGTTGTAGATCGATGGTTGGGCCATGGCGTAAATGGGAATGGGATGCTTGAATATCTGTTTCTTGGTCACTGTTGAAAATTAAACAATCCATTTCGACAGCTACCGTGTCGGTTACATCGATCGGTTCATCATCCGGGCTGGGCCAGTGTGGTTGCATATGGTTTATTTCCCACCGTCCCTGTCCTAGTTTGGGCTGGTATCGCCAACTAGAGCCTCAAAAATCTAAAGGTATCAAATCATTTTCCCTAACAGTCGACATCGGTTGGCCCCATCCTCTAACTCGACGCCGATGGAAGCAAGCTAGCAAAGCCGCTTCTTATGCGATCATCGCACAACCCATGGCATGTCTAATAACCATGGTGTTCCATGTCCTTCGCATCATGGTCGTTTCCTCACAACTGGATAGCGTTGTTCACAATCTTGACCTCCTCGCCGGGTTTCTGCTCAAACGCGTCAGCTCTGATTCATGTGCAAAATAGGACCATCGAAGATAAACGTACGAATGCTGGTAGACCAATGTAAGGGCAATCCGAGCACCGGAAGGCGTCGCCCAGGTAGCAACTGCCGCAGGACCCGGTCTTGCCCTGTACGGTGAAGTCAAGCTCGTTCAGGTCCTCTGACTTGAGCTTCAGCGTGTTAAGGTCACTGTCTGCCTTGGCGCGACGCGCCTTGTCCTCGGCCTCCATTCTCGAAGCGAGACCACATGTGCTGGGGACGTTAGTAATCTGGGTGGGCTTTGGGGGTTAGTTCGGGAAAGCTTACCAGTCCTTGCACGCCCGCCTCTTCTTCCCCGGCTGCGGCTGGCACTCAGGGGGCTGCTGGATCGGGCGCCACAGGTCCTCCTCCGTGAGCAGCGTCTCCTCATCAATCACATCCTCGTCATCCTCCACATCCAAATCCAAATCATCGCTAAAGTCCACAAACCCAACCCCGGCCGGCGCCGCAGCAGCAGCCGCCACAGCCGGGGGAACCATCCCCACCTCCTCCTTCTTCCCCGCCGAAGTCGCCGTAGCCACCTTCACAGTCCCAACCGCCGGCCCCGCCGAACTCACAGCAGCAGCAGCAGCAGCAGCAGCTTTCTTCTTCCCAAACCGCAACGGCACGGCCTCCTCCTCCGCATACTCCGGCTTGACAAACCCACCCACCCCACCCGCAACCAACCCCGCCAAAACCGCCTCCCTCCCCACCCTCTGATCCCCCAAAAACTCCGTCCCCTCACCACCCCCCTCCTCACTCGCCACCCTCCCGCCCGCCCTCACCGCAGGCACCAACCGAGCCCACACGGCGCGATCCGCCAGCAGCGCGGCGGCCTCGGCGCGCCGCGAGCCGTCCGGGTCGGTCAGCACGAGGACGAGGTCGTAGGTCGTTGCGGGCAGGGTGACCAGCCCCGCGGCGAGGCGGTCCAGCATTTGGAGGTCGGTGGTCGCGCGCGGGTAGGTGGTGGTGAAGAGGGTGGCGAGGCGGGCTTCGCCGTGGGTTGCGAGGGTGGGCGGGGCGAGGAGGAGGGTTCGTTGTTGGGGAGGGGCATTGTTGGTGGTTGTGGTGGTGGTTGTGGGGGGGTGGAAATCGGGGGTGAGATCGAGGCCGGGGGCCATTTTGTTTGGTGGTTGAGGGGTTGGCGGTTCGGTGGACGATGATGGGTGGTTATGGTTGGATCGAGGGATGTGGTCGTCGAGAAAAGTTGAGGTGATGCAATGATGTTGGATATGGCGTGGGTTAGGTCGCGGATTTGTGGTTTGTTATCGGTTTGGGGGAGGGGTGGCAGCGCGATAAGATTGGTAATGGGGAGAATTTCCGTGGAGTTGCTCACTTTTACAGCGGAGATACAGTTGTCACCCAATCGTTGTATTACCAAGCATCGCCACCGCTCAGCACAGTGCGATGCCTCTTGACGCACACCACAGCAAACACAATGAGAAGCAATGTTTGTGGCCTTGTTTTCTTCCGTGCTAGGATTTGATTGCTTTGAATTGGAGCCGGCTGGGCTACGAATGCTGGGAATAGCCAGAAGCACCAGCTCGCCAAATGTGCATACCTTGAACGATCCCATACGCCCATTACCATATTAAATACATACAGTGCCGTTCAGTTCGTGATGGTATGTATTCATTACGGCATTGGCCGATATCGGCCGCCAAATGCTCTAGGCTGGCCAATCCCTCAAGGTCCAGCGTATGAAATGAGCAGAGTGGTAAACTATGACGCCTTCACCTCTTCAGACCACTCTCATACAATCAAGCACTGGCTCAACGCCACAGTTGTACGGGCAATGTGGGTCGATTTGCTCGGGCTTTTCCCGCCGAGCAATGCCGAGACACGCCGTGAGGTCACGAGATCGGCTCTTTTGCAGTGTTGACTTACACTGTTTACTCCCGGGGATAGGTAGGCAAGATGCGTGCAACCATAAAACTTTGATTGCAAGGAAGGGTCAAGCATCACTTCATACTGTCAACAAGCTGACCAACGCCAAAAAGAGACAAGACCGCAGCTCCCTGAGACATACAACATGAAATCGAGGGGTTGCATCAGAACCGGCCATCGACCCTTGGGCTTGGCGGCTGGTCCCAGCTGCGGTCTGCTCCGCCGAGCCATTGGATGACTACTGTTTGATAGGCCCCTGGGTGCCTGGACAAGCCTGGAAGATGGGATGACGAATCCAGGTCCAGGAAAGCTCGTTGATCGTCTCGAAAGCGGAAGGCCGAGGACTCGATGGATGCAACACGTCTCAAAACATGCCCTTTCTTCGTAGACAGTCAGTCAGTGGTCAGTGTGTAACAGCTTCATTCTTGGTTCAACAGAACCCTTCGCTTCAACCACTTGTGGCCCTCATGATGACGATAGAAGATTCCAGCGCATGCACAAGAGACACGATAGAATGCCAATCTGGGACCAAGTCGGTTGAGGCGCTAACCCACAATAGCATGGTGTCACGCTACCCCGCAATATCGCTCGGCACCCTGGCCAGACCAGAATCCCCTGGGAATTGGGTGGAGAAGCTGATGTCACACCGGTTTTAGGCATTCGATTCTCCCAACGGGCGAGGAAACAGCCCGTTGAGGTACGCAAAGCATCAAGTGACAGGCGCAGCAGATACGATCTTCAAAGGGTCTCAATTGACAAGTGGGAAGTATGCAACTCCTACTATGGGTAAATTGGATGATTTGCTAAACAAGAGGTCCAGTTTCGAGGCCCGTCACGGTACAGATCGGGGAATTGAGTGACTGTTGCCAGGGTCCTGTTGAAGGTCAGCCCAGACTCGTACATCCATTGTATCCGCTAGCACCATATCACGCGACTCCCTCAACGCCTCCTTGCGTGCCACTGCCTGCCCCCGCCGCTGCTGTTTCCCGCCTCTACCCCCCTTGTTCTTGCCCTTTGGAGCTGCTCGCCTGATCAATGCGAGATATGACTGGTTGATGCCAAGTAACCCATTGGGACGTTGCCCGATCCCCAATGCCTCTTAAAGGCCGGAAGCTCCCATCTTCTGCCTCATATGATTTCCCTCGAGTGTTCAGACCATTAAGAACCCATCAACCATCGAGCACCCTCTCGGTTTCTTCCATCCCAAATCCATTGCTGGGACATCAGACCAGCACTGTGACATCATCCAGGCTACGAGTCACCAATTTCCGACTTTCCTCTCTGTGAAATCAACTGCTTTCTGAAACTGTAAGTTTATCCTGCTCCAAGCCGGAACCCCTCGTTGCTCGAGCACCTACCCGGCCTGCAAACCCCGCATCATCTGTACGACACTGACCTCGCCCCAACAGCCGTACTCCAAGCAGCCCACACCAACCCCTTTGTACTTTCCCATCGGCTACATTACATCTCTCAAGAGTAAGACCCAGCGCTTCCGGTCTCTATGACATCGCAACAGCCAACTAACACGCCGGTTTCAGTGACTCGTTCTCACAAGTTCGGTGACAAGGACCATGCCGGCCTGGCGGACGGCACCGTCCTGCCGCATGAAACCCTGCCCAAGTTCTTCGCCAAGAACGGCTTCGCCGATGCCGACCCTAAAAAGACCAAGAAGAATGGCGGTGGTCGGGCCAACTGGTAAGTCTGGCTAAAGGCCCCTTGAATATCACTATTCATTTACTCATGCACGTCACAGGGGCAACGTTGGTGACGAGGTGGTGGACGGAGACTTCAACTTCCACAATGCCCGCCGTCGCTCCAATAGCAGTAGCTTGTCGAGCAACATCGATAACCTCAAGACCAAGTTCGAGGTGAACGAACCGGAGCCCGTCTTCGAGGAGAACATGGGTCCCGAGGACGAGGAAGGCAAGACCGAGACCCCGTCGAGCGGCTCCAGCGTCGACGACAACAAGTCCCACAAGGAGATGTAAGAGTAAGACGAGAGCGGATTCTTTTGGTGGAGTGAGGAAGTCACCTGCAAATATGCATTGCGGGAACCCATCATCTTGGCGGAAGGCGTTTCTTGCTGGCGCGATCTAGCTCGGGGGCTGCCTTCTATTTGACTTACCACACGACGTTGTGTTCATGCTTCGGGATAGCACGCGATGACGCGGTCGGCATAACCGCATTGTACTATATAGTCTCAACTATTTTCACGGACGCAGTCCGATATTCTAACAACCGACGCTCACGGGGGTTTTGCCGGAAGTGCTGTGACCATGCTGCAATTATTCTACTTTTCAACAAGATTTGACTACCCTCTCTAACTCTAAACGATCACACTGACCTCGCCCCCCACCCATCAAGAACCACCCTCGCCGGCTTAAAAGTCGACCCCTCCATTTTGATCATCCCAATCCTCAACCACGACCCTCCCATCCGCACAATAACTGCCTCCCTATCCCTATCCACCCAATACTTCGACGTGACACTCTCCGCCTCCCACACCAACCCCTCCCCAGCCTTCCTCGCCTCCCTCGTCAGCGGAAGCGCCCTCTTCTGCACCCACACCACCACCCCGTCCCCATCCCAGCTGACTCCCCTCTTCGACCCGATCCCACCCTTACCCTCACCCTTACCATTACCATCACCAGAAGTAGATGTAGATTTAGACTCAGACTTAACCCCCCCAGGAGAAACCCTCCAATCGGGCGGCGGGCCCTCCACAACCGACAGGTCGGCTAGGATCGCCCGCTTCTCGCCTCCGCCCCCGTCGGTGGTGCTGCTCCGTCCGAGGTGGGTCCAGAGTGAGCCGAGCACGGCCGCCCGCCGCATGGCCTCGTGTGCGCCGTGGGCGGTCCAGAGGAGTTGTTTGTCGTGGGAGGTGATTTTGGGGGCGTGGAGGAGTTTTGGTTGTTGGGGGGGGTTGGGGGGGTGGGGTTTGGTGCTGCCGTTGTGGTTGTTGTTGTTGTTGTTGTTGGTGGTGGTGGTGGTGGTGTTATCGTTGGGCAGGGTTCGTGCGGGCGGGACGTGCAGGGCCCTCCGCGCAGCGTGCGGACGAGCAGGTCGGCGCCGAGCGGGGCGAGCAGGTCGTGCAGCTCGGTGGGGGTGCAGTCGGGTGGGATGGGGATGCCGGGTTGGGAGGTTTGCAGGAGCGGGACGCCCTCGTCGAAGGCGTGCGGGGAGAGGGTCTGGATGGTGATGCCTGTGTGTGTGCGCCCGGCGAGCAGGGCATGGTGGATTGGGGCGGGACCGCGGAGGCTTTTTGAGGGGGGGGTTAGGGGTGGTTTTCTCGGAGGGCTGGAAGAAAAGGGGTGAAGAGGGATGGGTGACTTACTCTGGGAGAAGGGAAGGGTGGACGTTGAGACCGCCGTATTTGGAGGCGTGGATGAGACGGGGAGGGACGAAGAGGCCGAAGGAGACGGCTATGATGAGGTTGATGGGGTCGCCGTCTGGTTTGGGCATCTGTTGGCTTTTGTCAATCGATGGCAAGGGTACGAAGGAGTTGAGGAGACTTACATCCCACCCTGTGAATGTGTCTCTCACATGGATGGGGAGACTAAGCTGTTCTGCGAGCCTACGCAAAGGAACTATCCCCGTGTTAGAAACACAATACATGGAGTTACTATAGATATATTTCTTACCTTCTCTGATCACCTTATACCCCCTTCCCGTCGGCTTACTTGGTCTGACGACGACATCGACGGACCGGATGAGGTCGGAATTGTGCTTGTGCTCGTGGTGTAGGGCTTTCAGCGACGCGCAACTGAACTCGTCTGAGCCGCAAAAAAGGATCCTTAAGGGGTCGGATTTCTTGAAAGTCGTGCTATATGATTGTTTCCATGGTCGTAGTCTCGCGGTTGACCGCAGTGAAGACCTCACCAGTGGTGAGAGAAGCATTTCAGTTTTCGGTTAGATGAGAGACAGAATTGCCGCTTGAAACCACCCGATTGGGAGATCAAGACCGGGCTTCCATCAATTAGTGTGATAAAACAAGGACGCCAACCTCGAGAGCTGGCCAATTGAAGGATCCGGTAAGCTAGGCTTTTGTTAGAGATCGTGAGTCTAGAAGTGAGAGCCTGCCAAGACTCAATCAAGAGGTGGCAGATTCCCAATTCCCACTCCCATGGACCCACTTTTCCACCATGGAGCATCGAGTTTCACCCATTATCCCCTGCCCCTTTCACCACCTCCCATCAGTACGCAACTGCCCACCGCCCATCAAGCTCAACATCCCAAGCAGGCGGCTCAATAGCAACCACCGTTCCAGGGGCAACTTGATTCCTGTTCCCCGCTCTCCCCCCGTCCCCCAGTCCCTCGATACTCCCCTCCCCAGCCAGGATCACCCTCACGTTGACATCCTGCTGTAGCCCATCTCCAGCCCCTCTATCCACCACACTCCCGGAAACCAACGTCATACCTGGACCACCGCGTGCGACCTCACCTACCACCACCTTCGCCGCACCGGCAGCAGTCGTAAAACTAAGAGCAGATGAAGTAGCTTTTACCTCCCCCTCGCTGTCAACACCACCCTTCACATCCACCAGCCAGTCACGCAACTCTGCGGCTAGCCCTCCCGGGAGATATTTTGCTCCTCGACGTTGCGGTGAAAAGATATCCGCCGACAGGTAGGCATCGGGATGGAGTGTGAATTTATCTGGTGGCTCGGTGAGTTTGAAGCGCGGTCCTACGCGGAAGGTGGGTTTCGTATCGGTGCGTTTGGGAGTCTCGGAGTCTGCTGCTTCTGCTTCGGTGCCGTCTTCCAAGTCGTCAAGTTCTGATTCCTCTCCGTCTCCAGTTGTGGGGGGGCTCTGGCGTGTCGGGGAAGAGGGGATGGACTGAGTGGGTGAGATGTTTGGACTATCGCCTTCATTGACATCGACCTCGTAGTCTTCCTCGTCCACATCCGAATAATAAGACAAGATGCGATCGCCCGGAGCGTCTGGTAGCGAGCCTAGGTCGGTGTCCTGTGAATGCTGCGAGCTCACTAATGGGTCTGTCTCGGGCTCGGATGAGGCTATGGATATACGTCTGCGTTTGGGAGGGCGTCCCTCCCCTGGTTCCTCAGGAGAGGGTGATGATTGTGGGATGAGGGAGGAGTCAATTTCGATAGATTCAGGGAGCGCATCGCGGCTAATTGGTAAGCCGGATGGTAATCCGTCTTCAGGGGATATGGGTGAGCTGTCATCGATTATATCCTGGGTCGAGCGATTCCTGGGCACTTTGGATTTGATGACTAGCGCGGGTGTAGCAAAGGTGGCCCCCGTCTGGGTGGACGACGGCCTCGGCGTCGAAGCCGCAAATCGTGGGGTGGCATGAAACTGGCTTGATCCCCGGAATGGCTGATGTTGATTTGGGGTTTGGCTTTGTGATTGTTGAGTGCTTGGCTTTTTTGAGATCAAGAACCGGGGAGCAGGTGTCTGGGTTGTCTGTCGTTAATGAGGAGTCGAAGAGACAGGAACTTCACACGTACTGCAGGCGGGAGCCCCATTCCACATGGAAAAGGAAAATTAACAAGTCGGATGCCTCTTGTGAGGATTAAAAACGTTACTTTCTCACGATATACGATGAGAGCTCATGCGTAAAGATACAGACCCTCAAGCAGGCAGCCATGCTCGAGCACAGTCCAGTGTCGTGACACCCTAACCCTAACCCAATTCTAGACAAGTAACCCTGTTTGTTCCAGTTGTTAGCGCTTTTCAAAATTACGAGATGCCGTCTCAAAATTACACGACTGGTCTGTGCGCCCCTATTGTCATTAAACAATATTGGCCGCGTGTGACCGCGCTTCCAAGCGCGTGCCGCGTGCAGGGGTCTCGCGTCCTCCGGCATTGACATCCTACATTATCCCACCAGAGAATCTCCCACTTCGCCGCACTCCAACAATGGTCTGACCAACTCCACCAACAAGTCAATTTTCTCCACCATTTCTCAGCGAGGAACCTCAATCTCACAATCAACCGAGTTCAACCACAACAATGTTCGCAACCATGCCTCAAACACCGCCACGATTTGGTTTCGGTCGTCCCGGTCAAGGGCACCACCAGAACCACCGACCGGTTTTCCCATCGCCTCTTTCCTCTTCTCCAGTTCGAGCCGCCTCATTATCACCACCACCATTCCAAAATCAACAGCAAACAGTCTCGCAACCCCTCTCACCATGCAACTCCAACCTCCTCAACACCCTCCCATGGCACACACAGTCCTCCCCGACTCAGGGCGGTCAAATATTCTACCCCAGCCCCACCCACAGCGAGAATCACAACGCGAGCAGCAGCAATAACAGCAAATTATTTCGCTTTGCCTCACGAAACCCGCGTCCTAACCCGGTTGTCAAACGGCGGGAGGACGCCCAGGAGGGCCGTCGCCGTTTATTCTTCCAGAACGTGCGGCAGCGACAGGAGGACAAGCGGTGGGAGAGGCGCGGTGGCGAGGACGAGGTTCGTTATCCACCTATTCGTCTTTTCACCCATACTTTTCTTCCCTGACGTTACTCCTACCCCCCATCCCCACTGAATACACTGCAAAATTACACCTCAAAATAAAATAGGTAGCTAACTCGCCAACCCAGCTCCTCAAACTCGAATGGTGGCGCCTCACGCGCGAACGTAACCAGGCCAAGGCTGCCGAGGCAGCGCAATACCTCGGCGCCATGGACGCGGACCTGGCAGCTCAAGAGGAGGAGGAGCTGCGGATGCTAGCGCAGCAGCAGTATCTGCAGTATCTGCAGTATGAACAGCAGTATCAGCAACAGCATCAACCGCAGCGAGGATATGCGGATCGCGACGCGGACGCAATGATGGCCGATGCTATTGTGCAGCAGGAGGAGGCCGAGCTGGAGGCGCTCGTTTCGGACTTGGAGAGGAAGAGGGAATCGGCGCACTTTTCGGACGACGAGGATTATGACGGGCTGTTTATGGATTTGATCCAGCAGCAACAGCAGCGGCAAGACGATGACGCGGGGATGGGGACGAGCTGGTCGCAGGATGTGGAGATGACTTGATATCCAACCTAGGTAAAAGACGGATATCCAGTTTTTTGGTTGTAGGAATATTGTGTACACATTAGTTGGCGTTCGGGAGGTCATCTGGTAGATGGGGCGTTTTGGGAGATTGTTGCATTGAGTTCAGGTATTAGAATTCAATTTGGCTTCAGCGCTATGCATTTTATCCTGTAACCACAGTACCTTGTCCATAATCACGGGCCTAAGCTACACTATTGAGGGTTGCACGACTCGTCTGGCATATTGAATGCGTCCTGGGCCGAGGGCATGTCCCCGACAAGGTCAGGTGGCGGCGAGCCCGAGGCTTGCATCTGTGGCCATGGTTAGGGCGGCACCAAAGGAACGGAGATATGGCCGGCTCACCTGTTGCATTCGATCGACAATGTATTCCCGGTCTGCTTTGTGGGAGTCCGCATAGCCTGGCTCCTCAAACTTAAGGACTATCTCCTTGACTAAAGTCTGCTGCTCTTTGTACCGTTTGAGGTCCTCTGCCGACGTTTTCTCGCTGTTCTTCTCGAGCCACTCGGGAAACTTGTCATCCAGCTCCTTCATAGGTTCGTAAAGAATCTCTTTCGTTGTGAGCTGGTCCATCATGCCCATGAGCATCTTGGAGAACTCCTCCTCGCCACCTTCGCCACCGTCGACCCCGGCGCCTTGCATTTGCTTCATTAATTCGGCGAGGAAGTCCTCGGTGCCTTCGGCCGAGGCCGCAGCTGTTGCTTGGTCACCCGAGGACTGCATGCGCTCCATCGTACGTCGGATGGTTTCTTGAAAGGAAGAGTCCGCGTTGGTAGCACCTGCGGTCGAAGAGCTGCCGCCGGCGGTCGGTGGGGTGGGGTTTGTTGAGGTGTTGTTTGCGCTCGCTGATGCCGAAGCACCGAGCTCCTTGAATATGGTTTCGAACTGGGCTTGCATCTCCGCCGAGTCTCCCAACCCTCCAAGTAGATCTGCCATACCGGCCTGAAGTTGCTTCGCAAACTCTTCATCTAGACCCTCCTCCCCGTCCTCCCCCTCCTGTGTGTTAGCCACCACGGCAGCGGGAGGCTTCGTTGGCCCTAGAGGAACCTCGGCCTTTGTCGGTTCGACCTTCGCGGCTGAGAAGTCGTCGAGCATATCTAATCAAGGTGGTTAGGCCACATGCTCCTGTCTTGCGCGCCCAGCAGATGCCTACCATCAAGATCGTCGAGATCATCCTCGTCCGGGTCGGGGACATCGTCAACATCCTCTATTGTTGCTGCTTGGGGCTGTTCCGTCTTTGGCACGGCGGGCGCATTACTCTCTACCTCCTTGGGAGGCGCGCCTATATCTCCAGCAGCTGAAACCATAGTAGCGTGATGTCGAAGTCGTTGAGGGTGTGGACTGTGAGGGGTGATAAAGGAGCGTGTGTGTACCGAGGTAGAAGCCCCACGTTGGAGATATCTGGGAAGAAGGGTCGCAATAAAATTGGGGTAAGCGAAACGCAGCGTAACAGGCTAGAACGACGTGTTTCTGGAGAGAAGGTGGCATCCCTCTCCTCGGGATTTGCATGTGCCAAAGCCACCGCCCCACCACCGAGGGTCGGCCGGCTGATGTCTCGTTCGTCCCGCTCTCGGGGTTTGGGAACCTTGTTAGACTGATATATTCTTCCGTATACAGGGCCGCAAAACCTTGTTCGTTTGGTCTCACAATACACACAGATATTATTGCCCCCATATATCCTTTCTACCAAATACCGTGTACCTACCTAGGTACCTTACTTAGGCAGGTCGGTACCTAGGTATTTTACGCGGGCACTCTCATGCTGGGAGAACCTTGGCGGGGTTGAGTGTAATTCATAATCATTAAAGTCCCCGACCGCACTACCTTTTTTTCCGGAGTACATATTGTTCCTTGGAATGCAGTTTCAGAGAATTTAACAATCCTACTCCTTGGCTATCCCCTCTCAATACTTATGTGCCTGACATAGGTACTTAGGTATGTAAGGTTTTAAAAGCAGCCCGGGGATTCCATCTCATGCAAGCACCCCACATTCAAATCCCAGCGCCCCACACTCAGCCCCCCCGCCTTGGACCGAGCCGGGCCCTTCTCCGCCTTCTGTTTTGGGACGGAGAAAGGCAGCAAGCCCGGTCCGTGCGGAACTTAGAATTTCGGCCATCAATGTGAATGAACCCTTGCAAATCTACCATTTGCACGCACTCAACGCGCATCCATCACCCGTGCTTCCCGTTCCAGGGTTTGCACTCTGACCTCTCTCCCAGTGCGTATTCTCAACTGGCGAGAAAACAGGATTGCCATCTGTTTCTCACTCCCACATCAACCCATCTTCCCACGCCTCAGACAGACAACGCATTCGAGTTGTCAACCATCTCCGTCTCTACGCCTCTGCGGTACTCATTCATCGAAGCACGTTTTGCAAAATCGAGGATTCGTAATACTTGACGAAATGTCGTTGTGCCAGAATCGTTTGCAGGAGGAGCGGTACGTTGGCGACTGCCGCCCATGTTAACACGATCCTGCGACGGCCTCACTAACCCGCCCTCCACGCTGTAGGAAGCAGTGGCGCAAGGACCATCCGTTTGGCTTCTATGCCCGGCCCCAGAAGAACTCTCAGGGTGTACTTGACCTCAAGATTTGGGAATGTGGGATTCCTGGCAAGGAGAAGACCATCTGGGAGGGCGGCCTGTTCAAGCTGGTGGTAACGTTTCCCGATGGTACGCGAACCCTTCCCCCCGTTTTACTAAAAGCCATGACAACCGCTAACCGGTCGATCCCCTGCAGAATATCCCACGAAGCCCCCCAAGTGTAAGTCGATCCAGTTGTTGCGCGCCTCGCGATCACCTCAGTCACGCAGCTAACATACGCCCCTCTATGCAGGCAAGTTCGTACCACCGCTGTTCCACCCCAACGTCTACCCCTCTGGGACGGTTTGCCTCTCTATCTTGAACGAGGAGGAAGCGTGGAAGCCGGCGATTACGATCAAACAAATCCTCCTTGGTGTCCAGGACCTCCTCGACGACCCCAACCCGGAGTCCCCGGCTCAGGCAGAGGCGTACAACATGTTCAAGCGGGACCGCGTGCAGTACGAGAGGCGCATCAAGCAGATCGTGCGGGAGAACGCCGCGCCGTAGAAGGCTAAACGGGTCAACCGTTCGCTCGGCGCCAATGGGATGAGGATAGGCATGGGGGTTCTGATTACGGAGTTAAGGGATACCAATGGCGGTCGGTGATACAGCACTCGGAGTTCAGACGGCAAGATTTATCGGGATGGTTTCCAACTGCAAGTTACGAATGTTTGGTTTGGGTTGGGCCGGGTTGGGGGACCAAAGGGATACTGTGCATGGTTGTGCAACATCAGGAGCTCCAGGGTACATGCACAGCCCAATCCATTACGGAACCTGCCAGGCTGGCTCCCATAAGGAAGAAAAATTATGGATATCGTCGGCCCCGTGACATGCGCCCCGAGGTGCAATGGTGTTGATGGACTCTGCCGTCTTGCGTCGCATTCGCCCCGCGGGCTTCAGCTCCGCCCCATCGACTGATTGGCCAGACCCCCACTATGGAGTTGCGGGATCTCACGCCTCCAAGACTCTCCCGGTTGGCGATTCCAGCTTCACAACATGCAGTTTCCGACGCCTCTCTCTTATCCCTCTCCACGGGCACAGTACCTCGCGTGGGCTCGTTGTCGTTTTACAGATTTTGTCGTCGAACCGCCCATACCTCCCGTCTCCCTTATCAGGCCTTGTTTTAGGTAATGGCCTGAGTGGAACTCAAGCCCGGATTGGTGGGCCAATCAACACCACACCCGACATCGGCCAGGGACTGTGACTCTCCGGTTGTCCATTGCTGGAGCTCTGTCCCCAGCTCGGCGGGCCAACTTGCTCACACTGATTGACAACGGGCGGTGGACACGGCTGGGCGGCCGGGTTCTGGGACCGGGACCCTTAGTCAAGTAGCTAAAATTTGCGGTTGTCTGGGGGTCCCGGGGGCGAGACGGCGGATGTATCGAAAGTAGCCGAATTTGGACACCACACAATTTTCCGAGGAGGCGTGTGACTCTTCTGTTCTTGACTTTTGTCCACCTTTCACCTCCCCGACTGATCCCACCCGGCTTGCTTGTGGTTTCTCTCTTGTACGAACAACTCCCCACGTCCACCTCTCCCTACCCATCGTTCTCTGCCACCCATTGCAGCTCCCCCGCGCCGCTGAGCACCAGCATAAAGGCTCGTCTGCTCACTGACATCGATACCCAGGCTCCGCTCCTCAACGCCTGCGATTCCTCCTCAGGTCCCAATTCCATAGCCGCCTTTACGAACCGAGTCCTTAGAAGATAACCTTCAGGATGTGTGGCATCTTCGCTTGTCACAAGTGAGTCGTCTCTCAGATTTCCCGTTTCTGTCGCGTGGCTTTGCGCCGTGCCCCTTGGATGGAGGGGTAGTTTTTGCCCCGCTATCGCGCTCTGCCTGCCGAGCCGTCGTTATCGCGACAACATTTTTCGCAAAGGAGCGCATCCACTAACTTTTGCCAACAGCCACCCTGACGTGGCCAAATTCAAGTCTACAGCTCTGAAGCTTTCCAAGGCGTATGCTGTCCCCGAGAATTGAACCCCAAGACCTGTAATTGGAACGGCGCAATTGACCCTGCTTATCTCGCAGCATCCGGCATCGTGGACCTGATTGGAGTGCGTTGCCCCTTTCCTCCCGATTCTTGAGTCACACGAGATAAACAAGTTGAGCTAACACATGCTTGTGCGATCATAGGCGGCAACGTCACCTGCCACAACACGAGTATGCATTGCACCCCTTGGCGAAGAAACGCCAAATTTGCTCAATTCGAGACAGCGCTAACATCACGCACTCACAGTTCTGTGCCATGAACGGCTCAGCATCGTCGGCGTTGGTAGGTTTCAGAATAGGTCTTATCCGAGCATTCAGTCTTGAGAGCAACTTCTGATACAAAACAGAGAGCGGAGCGCAGCCACTTACCAATGCTGATGAGAGCATTGTCCTCGCCGTCAATGGCGAGATCTACAACCACCGTCTTATCCGCAAGGGATTGAAGCAGCCCTACCACTTCAAGACCGCCTCCGATTGCGAGGTTATCATTCCTCTGGTGAGTGCGCCGGGCGGAAGGAGGAATATCTTGCCGAAAAAACAATACGAGGCTCACCCGTGCTGACCCGTTGGTAGTACATGGAATACGGCCTCGACGCGCCGAAGCACCTCGATGGCATGTTCTCTTTCGTCCTGTACGACAAGAAGCTAGACCGGACTATCGCCGCCCGCGACCCCATCGGCATCACCACCCTCTACCAGGGCTGGTCATCCCAACAACCTGGCACCGTTTACTTTGCCTCCGAGCTCAAGTCCCTACACCCCGTGTGCGACAAGATCGAGTCGTTCCCCCCGGGACACATCTACGACAGCTCGACGGGCGAGTGGACCCGGTATTTCCAACCGTCATGGTGGGATGGCGAGAAGGTCCCGGAGAACCCTCGGGACTTGAAGCTGCTGCGGGAGACGCTCGAGAAGTCGGTCAGGAAACGCCTCATGGCTGAGGTCCCGTACGGTGTCTTGCTGTCAGGTGGTCTGGATTCTAGCTTGGTCGCGTCGATTGCGCAGCGGGAAACCCTAAGGTTGAGGAAGCTGGCCGAAGCGGCTAACGGCAGCGCCGCCGAGGAGACGGGTGATGCGGATAGGGGCGAGGGGCTCGTCGGTATTGACGACGAGAACAAGCTGTCGACGATGACCTTCCTTCCGCAGCTCAACTCCTTCTCCATTGGCCTTCCCGGCTCGCCCGACAACAAGGCGGCGCTCGAGGTGGCTAAGTTCCTCGGAACTAAGCATCACGTCATGACCTTCACCATTGACGACGGTCTCAACGCGCTCTCGGACGTCATCTACCACCTCGAGACGTACGACGTAACCACCATCCGCGCCTCGACGCCCATGTACCTACTCTCGCGCAAGATCAAGGCGATGGGCATCAAGATGGTGCTCAGCGGCGAAGGCAGCGACGAGATCTTTGGCGGCTACCTCTACTTCCACGGCGCGCCTGACAAGGCCGCCTTCCACGAGGAGTGCGTCCGCCGGGTAAAGAACCTGCATCTGGCCGATTGCCTGCGCGCCAACAAGTCGACCTCGGCCTGGGGTCTGGAGGCCCGCGTGCCATTCCTGGACAAGGAGGTAAGTACCTTGCAGACGCTTAAACATTTCTTTCCAAACTAACAACTCGATTAGTTCCTCGAGGTGTCCATGAACATCGATCCCCAGGAGAAGATGATCACGAACGAGAAGCTCGAAAAGTGGTACCTCCGCAAGGCCTTCGACACCACCGACGAGCCTGAGACGGAGCCCTACCTGCCTGAGAAGATCCTCTGGCGCCAAAAGGAGCAGTTCTCGGACGGCGTCGGCTACGGGTGGATCGACGCCCTCAAGGACCACGCCGAGATCCACGTCACCGACGAGATGATGAAGAACCCCAAGCCCGAGTGGGGCTCCGACATTCCGGATACCAAGGAGGCGTACGTTTACCCTATGATCATTATGGGGTGGTGTGGTGGGTGCTGACAACGGAATAGGTACTGGTACCGCACCATGTTCGACGAGCACTTCCCGCCGTCGTGCGCCTCGACCGTCATGCGCTGGACCCCTAAGTGGTCGAAGCAGACCGACCCCAGCGGCAGGTGAGTGCGGTGTTGTCTAGGAGTGTTGGTTATGAGAATTGTTGGCTGACTATTTCTTCACAGGGCGATCGCCATCCATCAAGCCAAGTATGAGGATGCTTGAAGATGACCAATTATGTCATATCTGTACATAGAAACTTTTGGGTAACTGGTTTGGTTCTTAGTCCAGCTATTGTGAATATAGGACTGGTTCAAGAGCTGGGTAAAAAAGTTGATGTGCGTCGTCTATTTATTGTATTTGCCGTTTGCGTGTGCCGGTAGTCGTGCTTCTCCTTCGTCAAGTCTCTCTCTCGCATTCCTGAAGTCTTTATTGTGTAGAAAGCCTTACGCTGGAGAATAGACAGGTCACCGGCCTCAAGCCAATCCACTTTGTTGCCGAGATGCAATAACTTAGATAAGGTAGCGTTTATTCCCGAGCGGTGCCTGAGCGGTGCCTGAGTGGTGCCCTGAGTGCCTCGGTGGTGTCTTGGGTGGTGCCTGAGTGGTGCTCCATGTGGTACTCCGTCTGGACACAAACATGACTCCCAAGTGTGTGGGATGATATGATGATCAATTTTTGGTGATTTTTCCGGTTGAATATACGTATCACACAGATCGCTGTGATGAGGATGAACTTCTTCAGGGAGCAGGTCTGCTCCCGAGGTCTCTCATTGTTCGGGGGTTAGGGTCCCAGAATTCACCACAACTCACCCCTCGCCCACGTGGTTTCAGAAGACCTGGTTGCCAATGGCCGCCGCCGGAGCTCTGCATGGACGACTGTTGCCGAACCGCCAATCACAGCGCTTAGAGAAATTTCTCGTAACATCGTGGGGCACTTCCGGCACCTCCCTCCCCCAACAATTCCCTAGTGACAACAACGGACCTAAATCACCGATTGTGCTCATCTTCCTCCGAAGCATCCTCTACCACAAACACCTTCACACCCACTCTATACCCAACAATCGCAATCATGTCTGTTCCGTCTTTCCAGGATATCGCCAAGGCGGCGAACGATGTACGTGCGATGCAACTCGGAGAAACTTAGCTGCGGGCGCGCGCGGTGGCTTGCGGCGAAGCGGCATTTCTCGAGAGCTTGCCCAACAATGGCGCGCAAGACAGATGGCTAACTCTGCGCTTCTAGCTCCTCAACAAGGACTTCTACCACCTCTCTGCTGGCACCCTCGAGGTGAAGAGCAACACCCCCAACAATGTCGCCTTCAAGGTCACTGGCAAGAGCAGCCATGACAATGCCACCAGCGGCACGGTACGTACAACCCCACTCGGGACCTGAGGGTTGATCGCGATGCTAATTAGTGTTTGGTGGTCTCCAGATCGAGGGCAAATACGTTGACAAGTCCAATGGTAAATGCATATGTTTATTCAACGACCCCCGAGCCGAATATGCGACTCGTTGGGTCCAACGATCGGTTTCGTCCAGCTGGGACATCCAGCTGGGCCCCATCCGCGGACCGGCTTTGTACCAGCGCCCCGTCTAGTGGAAGGTGGCGCTCAACGCGTGGGAGCCGACACAGGTGCTAACGCAATGGACACGCGCAGGCTTGACGCTCACTCAGACCTGGAACACCGCCAACTCCCTGGAGACCAAGGTCGAGATGGCCGACAACCTCACCAAGGGCCTCAAGGCTGAGGGTGTTTTCGCCTTCCTCCCGGCCACCCAGGCTCGTGGCGCTAAGTTCAACCTGCACTTCAAGCAGCCCAACTTCCACGGCCGTGCCTTCGTCGACCTGCTCAAGGGCCCCACCGCCAACATTGACGCCATCGTCGGCCATGAGGGTTTCCTCGCTGGTGCCTCGGCTGGTTATGACGTCCAGAAGGCCAAGGTCACCAGCTACAGCGCCGCCGTCGGCTACCAGGCCCTGACCTACAGCGCCGCCATCACGGCCACCGACAACCTCAGCGTCTTCGCTGCCAGCTACTACCACAAGGTCAACAGCCAGGTCGAGGCCGGCTCCAAGGCTACCTGGAACTCCAAGAGCGGCAACACCGTCGGCCTCGAGGTCGCCGCCAAGTACCGCCTTGACCCCGTCTCTTTCGTCAAGGTGCGTTTTCGCGTCCCGCGCCCAAGCAGGTGCTGCATGATGCTAACCGTTTAAACAGGCCAAGATCAACGACCGTGGCGTCGCTGCCCTTGCCTACAACGTCCTCCTCCGTGAGGGCGTCACCCTCGGTGTTGGCGCTTCCTTTGATACCCAGAAGCTCGACCAGGCCACCCACAAGGTGAGATCCACGCTAACTCGGCTCAATGACACCCCAAGTCACGATGCTAACTTGAACCCAGGTCGGCACGAGCTTCACCTTTGAGTCCTAAGATATTAGCGCTAGATAGGGTGGCGTTGGGCTTTGCGTCGGGAATGAGCTTCGCGGTCTGAGCTCCGGGATGGTCGCGGTTGCTTGGGCACGACCCAGTAGCCATGTATCAATTTACTCAGCGTGCATGATTGCAACGTGTTGTATTGTACGGTAGACTTCTCGGTAGCGCATTTGTAAATTGCGAGCGATGGATGGTCCATTTGATTCACCGCAGCGTAGGTAACTTTGTAAATGCATGGTAGTCGTACAACTTGGTTGTAATATGGAATACATCACCTCCCCCTTTCCTTCTCCCTTTGCTTGCTATTATTCGCATTCTCTTTCTCCCTCTCCCCGGCCTTGGACGAGCCATTCCCACTCCCGCTCCCAGACGCAGTTGCGCGATTGCTCCTCCACCCCGTCACCACAAACGGCCCCAGCACCACAACCGCCAGGATGGCCGCCACACCGAGGAAGCTCACCGCCGTGGACGTCTCGGGCTGGTCGATATTCACCCCTTTCTCCCTCGCCCGCCGGTGCGCCCGCCGCTCGTCCCCCCTCCGCTGCGCCCGCTCGTGCGCCTCGTGGTCAAATGCGGCACGTCGTCCCGGTGCCCGTACGGGTCCTGCCCGGGTCCCATCCCGCCCCGACCAGACCCCATCCCACCAGGCGGAGGTGGCGGCGGCGGCGGCGGCGGCGGTCCCGCACCCACCCCCGAACTACCCCCCGTCCCAGGCCCAGTCCCCGCCCCGGCTCCCGCATACCGGTGGCCCTGGCCCGCATCCGTCGAAAATCCCGAACCCGCCCCCGCACCCCACGTAGTCTCCTCATGAGCCGAGCGTAGCTCGGTCGGGAGCGCGCCTCTCCCCTTAAGGCACTAGCAGTACGGCGTCGGGGCCAGCTATGTGC